AGTCAGCCCCGCCACCGTCACCCCTCCTGCCACCCTCCCTGGGCACACTTGCCAACCAGCCAGTCTGTAGCCCCTGCTTTGGGAAGGGACCCTGCAATAGCAGGGGCTGGGGACCAGCTCCAGTGCACGTCTCACCCCACCAGCCCCAGTGAGCCCACGTGTCTCCCCCACGGCACCAATCCTCTCCCAGCCATCTCACTATGGGGTCAGAGTCAAACCCCAGCACCAGGGTGGGGACTTTGGGCATCTGCATCATGGTGGCTGCATCCCCAAATGAACTCACTCCAGCCTGGGGGTCACTTGCTTTCCCCCCAAGTCAGGGAGGGGCTGGGACAGGGGCAGACAGGGAGCGGGGCTGCGAGTGGAGATGGTGGGAGAGGACAGGGGCTGAGCCACCCCGGGGTGACACAGTGGCAGTGGACAGGTGACAGGTGCAGTGCTGGGCAGGACTCACAATGGCAGCGCAGAGCGGGTGGAAGGCGTAGGTCCCGCAGGCATAGAGGTGGGTGCTGTTCAGCCTCTGCAGAAACCGCACGTGGTTGAAACACTCGGTCTGCAGAGGGGGCGGACGGGCGTTAATGCTGGGACAAGCGGCGGTGGCCCCCCCAGTACCCACTCCCCAGCCACCAGCTCTACCTTGTTGTTTTTGCCCTTCTGCAGGCAGTCCATCTGCTTCTCTGTGGAGGCTTCCCAGTGGATCTGCAAGAGGAAGAGGGACTGCCACTGTGTGACCACCCACCACCGCGTGGTCCCCCCCTCTGCCAGAGCTGTCAGAGATGCTAAAATCCTTTTATCTAGAGAGGGGACAGCTGCTCAGAGCACAAGACAGCACCCTGCCCGTGTTCCCCCAGCCCAGGGCGAGAGCAGTCCTGCATCCCAAACTGCGGACAGAAACCCCAGAGCACCTGCAGGAGCCTGGAGGATTTTGGGGTGTCCTTCCTGGGGGGAACAAAGGGGTGCACTTCCCCCCTGCCCCTCATTCTGCCAGGGTGTCCCTGAAGCAGGCAGCTCTGAGCTTGGGGACATCCCCCACTGCTGTCCCCACGCAGCCTGGCTGGGGAGAAGGACCAGGCATGCACAGGGGTCCTGGGGACAGCACTCCCAGGTAAGACTTGAGATGGCAAGCAGGAGGATGGGCAGGGATAAGATGGCCATGATTCAGGCAGCGACTGGGCACCGCGGGACAGGAGAGGACAACCAGCCAGCGGTGGGCAGAGGTCCGGCTCACCGTGCGGTGGGAGCCGTCGGCCACGTCACTGGAGTTGAGGGCGAAGATGGCTCCCCTGGCGCCCACGTAGAGGATGCCCCGGTTGTCCTCCAGCAGCAGGGTGCTGTAGTTGCGGGTGCGCGCGCTGAAGCGCCGGACACCTGACAGCTCTGCAAAGGGAACAGGAGGCTGAGGGAGGACCCCGAGGCAGGCACAGCGCAAGCCATGGGGAAACAACAGAGGACGGAGCCAGGAGTGGGTGGGAAGGCACCCACCGAGGTTATCAGGCAGACAGTGCCAGATACCAGTGGTTACAGCAGGAGAAAAGGAAGAATGGAGGTTTATTAGGAAGCAAAAGGCACTAATTGGGTTCAGGCTCACAAGGGAAATTTCTCCCCGCTAATTAAAATGGTAGCTCAGGGGTGGGAGCTGCAACGTCCATTCCCAGCACCGACCTGACACGCTGTTTGAGGAACCGCTGGAGGAAACGAAAATGCGCGAGCAGTGACCCTGGCTCCAAAGTGAACCCAGCCAGCCCAAAAGGAAGGATGTAAAAAACCTAAATCAAAACTGTCATGCAAGGGGAGGGTTTTGCAGCGAGGTTGGGTGCTCCCTGCCCACCAAGCCAGAGAAACCATCCAATTTGGTATACTAAGAAGTGTGAGGTGGGACTCAGCCCTGGCCAAAGGGACCTCAAGTCAGGCTCAGACCCTCCCGCTGCAGGAGAAAGTCCCGTGAGGCTTGGGATTCCAGAGGCAGCTGGGGAGGGAATGACCTCCCTGAAAGGAGGCATTGCCTGGAGACAAAAGGGCACCCTCAGCTGCAAATGAAACCCTCTCCCGCTGTTGATTGCTGAGCTGAGCTTCACTAACAAGGTCACTGAAGTCATGTGGATCCTCAAGGCACGATGACACTGTGGGGCTGGCTGACACCATAGAGGCTGGAGGCCAAGAGCCCAGTGGCAATTAGAGAAAATCATGGAAGATTGCTGATTATTTGGGCCATGAGAGCCCAGCCCGGGTGTGATGCCCGGCTCAGGACACGTTCCAAGGTCTATTGGGCAGGGCCAGGGGCTGGCCAAGGCTGGCTCCCTGCACGTCCTTGCGCCCGCCTGGCTTTTGGGGAGATGCCTTTGCCCTACTCCATCCCTCAGGTAACATCGACCCAATGCCAGACAGCCATGGGTGCTCTGATTTCTGGAGCCCAGGAGACCGGAGGCACCCCTGTAGCCACCTCCCCATGCTGAGCACCCCGCTCTGGGGGGCTGGTGAAGGCTGGACACAGTCACGATGCACCAAATCCCGTGCCAGCAAGAGCCCAAACCTCACTGCCACCACCAAGACTCACACCCCCTTACCGTCAAAGGTGACCGTTGTCCTGGGGGTGGCATCCAGGTCTGTGGCAGACCGCCGTGATGAGTAGCCCGTTGCTGCCGCCACAAAGAGAGCCATCAGGAGATGGGCCGTGCCTCCGCTCATCTTCGTGCTCCCCTGGCAAGGACAGCCGCCCAGCCCCCTGCCAGGCTGGCACCGCCGATCCTCAGGACGGGCGCTCCAGCTCCCCAGGACGGGACCGGCCACTAAAACCTCCTGAAACACAGAGCACCGGGTCAGACGCTCCCGCTGTCCCCAGCACCTCACGGGTAAGCAGGCTGGGGAAGGAGCTGGCCACGCACACGCATGGACGCTTGACCGGACACGGCCACAGCCCGGGGATGGCTTCAGGCAAAAGCAAACTCTCGTTTGCCAAAGGGGAAACTGAGGCACGGCACAAGGCGTTGAGCCTGCAGCCGGCACAGGGCAGGGAGGGGAGTTTGAGCAGAGAGACTCCCCACAGCATCCCCCTGCTCAGCGTCTGCTCTGTCGCAGCAGTGGCAGCCGCTTATTGAGCACTTGGTTCGGTTGCTCGGAGGCTCATTTTCCTCCAAGTCTGCTCTGGGCTCCTCCCTCCTTCACTCCCAGCCATCTCCTCCTGCAGCCCTGCCGACCAAGGATACACTTCGGCAGAGCCAGCTGATCCCACATTGCATTTTCACACCCGCAAAGCAGGCACATTTACCCCCAAAAGCAGAGAACGGGGCTTGGGGCCAAGCCCTTCTGTGTGTCTCTCGGCACATCGGGGTACCCCAAGCCCCACTCCCGGGAGCAGCTGTGGCAGGACAGGTGGTGGGGTGGCTCCCAGGGTGCTCAAGGGCTCCACTCCTCTCCAAAAGCACAGCTGGCTATCTCCTGCCATGCAAAATACTTGTCCCCAAAGTTTTGCCCCTCCTGAAATGACAAGACCCCCGAGGACAGAGGCATGGGGAAGGACATTTCAGGCACACAGCAACGTGGGGCGAAGGAAAACCCATGCAGGAGCCAATTGGCATCTTCAGCAAGCCTTTTCAAACAAGAACAATTTTTCCCCCCAGCGTTTTTCCATGTGTTTCTCTTTCATCCCAAGCTGTCTTGAAGCTCAGCATCTACCTCAGCTCTTGCTTTCAAGCATCATACCCCTCACGAATAACCCTCCACCTCTCCCAGTTGTGTTGAGCAAAGCCACCAGTTCATTTTGCAGGCACTATGGAGGAAGCAGACGACTGGGTATCTCCGAGCAGGAAAGCTCTCCATAAGCAACCTGCACCTGTATGATTGCTTAGGTTTTTTTTTTTTTAATATATATATAAACCAAATACCTTGCCCTGTAGAAAAGCTGTTCAAACACGCTCGCTGCAGACAGTTTCCCTGAAGCAAATACCTCACCAGGTCTCAGGCAGAGGGGAGGTAAAACTAAAGTGAAATGAAAGTGAAAAGGGCTTTGGGGCTGAAAAGGAGAAGTGAGGGGCTGGATGTGGAATCCAGCTGTAGTCCTGGAGCCTGGGTTAAACAGCTGCTTCCTTTTGCGGGGGATTCAGACCCAGACCTCGCAACTGCACTGGCCGCTATCCCACAGCATCCTGGGAATGAGGCAGAGGGGAGACATCCCCCCTGCTCCCTCCTGCCTCGCTGCCCCCCTGCGTCAGCCCAGCACAGAGCACCCATAGAGCACCCAACCCCGGGCGCAGGCAGGGTGCTGCCCGTGGGGCTGAGCTCCCCAGGGAGCAGAGGACAGTGACCCGGAGCATCCTCCCTCCAAGGAACTCCTGTTCCCGGGGCAAGCCCTGTCCAGACCAAGGGTCTGCCCATGAGCAGTGGGCCTGGCAGGGAGATGCAAGGCAGGTGAGCGGGGATGAAGGTCAATGAGAAAGAAGTTGCTTTGGTGGCACCATGTCTACCACAAGCCAAACCCACCAAGCTTTTTGGGTAAAGCCAGTGGCGGGGTCACACGTAGAGCACCAAAGCACCCAAAAGTGCTTTGGCCAGACCTGTGCTGATGCCTCTCCACCCTGCCAGTGGGACCGGGGCCATCCCGGCAGCTGTGGGGACCCTTCCCCAGGCGTGGGGACACGAGCCAAGAGCCATGCACAAGCCCCAGGAGCTGCTGGGCACCTGGGCTGGGAAAGCAGAGGGGAGGAGAAACCTTCTTACGACAAGGCAAACAACGCTCTCTAATAAATGAGCGACAGCCCTGTGAGCTGCCTGTACGCTACCAGCCTTCCTCACCTTATCTCCCCTGAACAAACAAGCTCTGAACTTTGCCTGCTGCCCGGCTCCGGGCATGACGGGGACTGGAGCAAGGAGCACAGCCGGGCAGGGAGGCAGGAACGCTGATTATCGCAGGGCAAGCTCAGTGCTGCAAAGCAACCTCGGCTAACATTTAACCAGCATGACCACCGAGCCAGCACCGAGGGAAAAAACAAAAATAATAAATTAAGCCATGGGGCTGTGCAGGATTCCTCGTTGGGCAGGGGTGGGGGGAACAGCCTCCCCTGCCGCCAGGGCTGGGCTCCTCTGCTTTTTCCAGGGGAGCAGCTACACCCATTTCCAAAGGTTCCTTTGCCTGAGATCAGATGTAACTTTGTCCTAAAAGATATTTAATCAGCTAGCTGCAAAAGCCAGTTAATATTTTACTCAAAGGGAAGGGCTGCTCTGAGTGTCTCTATTTTTATTTTTACTTTTTTTTCATACCTAGGGTGGAGGAGAAAGAGCAAGAAGGAACTGAAACCATCCTTGCACCTGCTCAGATTGTCACCCCAGGCTGCAGCCACACCAAACACCCCCAAACCCATCATTTCTCCCTTGGCAGGGTGCAAGTTCAAAGCTCTGGGTGAAGGCGAAGGCCGGGGTGGGAGGCAGAGGAGGTCTTGGTCCATGGGACCCGCTGGTCAGGCTGGGGTGGCTGGATTCCTCAAACCCAGCACCAATATGGGAAATGGGGAAGAGCCAGGAGGGGACATGCTGCTGAAAAGCAGCAGCAGCTCCAATGAGATCTGGGGTTTAAGAGAAAAACTGCCCAGAAAAGCCCAGCTCATCCCCAGGAGAGAGCTCCCAAGCCTCTCGGCACCTCACCTACTTCTCAGCACATGGGGAGTCATCACAGGACCCAAAATGTGGCCCCAGCTCCTGCCCCGGCTGGCAACGCTGAAGGAGAAGGGTGGTGGAGGCAGGATCCGGCCACGGGGCTGACGGCCACCCCGAGAGCAGGGCGAAGCCAGAAACCAGCCGCCCTAATTGCAATGTGCAACATCCACAGGGGCCAAAGCCCACCCTCGCACTGCCAGCTATCAGTACTCCCGCAGGATGCAGCCATGGCTCCTGGCAAGGAGCCAGGCGAACCCGACCCGGGCACCAGCTCCCGCCGGTGGGACAGGTTTGCTGGTCCCCGGGGAATGGCAGGAAAGCAGCAGGCCAGCGGAGGCGTGCGGGCAGGCGTGAGCGTGCAGGGGAGCAAGCCCCGGTCAGGTCTGACTGGGTTTACTGGGTCACGACAGAAGCTGTGCGAGTGTGACTGTGCCGGCCCCAGCCTCCCACCAGCAGCCAGCCGGCACAGCACACCCAAACGAGCCGACCCAGTCGGCACCTCCTTAAAATCCCCATGACCAGCGTCTCTGGAGGCGCAAAACGCTTTTGATGAGTGAATTTCCCAGTGGCAGGGCGC